CGGATTTCCTGTTTCAATTTTGCGAACTTATGGAACGATTTAATGAAAACTATACACATAGAAAGTTTGTTATATAACTAGTTAAAACAATCATATTAGAGGCGACTTTTTATATTTAATGCATTCTATTCTTATGTGAGTTAGGGACGTTACAAAAGCAAATTTATGTTAAAACAGTTGTACTGGAGGTAAAAGAGAACCAAGCTAACTGCAACAGGAATGTCTGTTCTCTTAACGAAATGTGAATGTGAATATTGTACAAACGCCTGATATAAAACATCTTCATTCAATTTCAGAAAGGTTAAATTCTATAGAGCACAATGCAACAAGTTAAAAAACATATTAAGAACATTTCCTGGACCTTATGACATGGATTAAAAATACCATTTTTGCAAGGATTCAAACTGTGCTTATCCTTCATATTTGTTGCTTCGATAGTGAAGTTTATTAGATAATGATGATGGAGAGCTAGAGCTGCTTTAGATTCATGGCACAATAGTTCTTTATACTCAAGAAAGTAATATAAGCTTACAGTTAAAAATAATTGTTACATCTAATAGGGAATAATTATTCGGATGATTCTTAGTAATAAACTACACTAACAAGAAATTTGGTATTCTAAACTAATCTGCTAAATTTCTCGGGTAGCTGATTGAAACTTTAAACTGCATACAACATTTTCCCCACATTCTTCAGCCGTAAGCCATCTGTTCAATTATTTCGAAAGCTTGGGAGCTTACGAAATAAAGCATCAATAAACTATACATCTAATATAAATGAATCCGTATCAAAATCCTGGATTCACATCTATAATTCTTTCCTCCCTAACTGCTTGAAACAACGGATTCTCAAATTTCCATAGTCTCACTTTTTGTGAAACAGAATTCAGAAGAAAGATTATCATTATAAACGTTGCTCGAAATAGCAAATTTTCGAAAATCCTTGAAAACATATTAAAAATTTCCAAAATATATATCAAATTATATTTTAAGGAAAATGTGCCATGTGAATGACATAGACATTAACGTTGAGAAAGATTATGCATCTCAAATCTTGAAGAAATTATAATGCTTGGATTCAGTATAAAAAGTAGGCCAAAACGAGAGAAGACGAAATCACACTGAACAGACAAATATTGTAGAAAACCGGAGTTAAATACCTATGATAAGACATAAGAAAACATTGGATAATAAGTAAAGTATCTCGAAGAAAGGGAAGAAATTACCTGGGAACGGGTAGTTGTAGACCAGCAGAGAGGAGCTCTGACATATTCTGTCGTTAGCAAGACAATGGCCTGCACGTAAAAACAGTTTGGAGCCGAGTAAAAACAGTTCAAGGAAATTAATATCATGTAAATAATATACTTTTTCGTGAAAGAAAGTTCTAGGTCAAGAAACTAGGCAACTGGACTCACCGAAGTTAATACAGAGGAAAAGTAACGGGTCAATCAGATCAAACTTTTGAGGTCACGTGGGTGCCAAAATCTTAACACGAATAAATTAGATATTAATTAACTGTGAATCATTTAGAAAGCAAATCAAAACCTATAATTACTGTCATAAACATAGGATACTTTCAGATAGGGAAATACATTTTTTTTTAATTATTGGTTTGAACTTATGATGTCTAGACCAGTAGTTCTCAATCTTTTCTGCCTCATACACCCCTGAAAAATCGATGTGCATTATAATGCTTAGATAAAAATCTAAATTTGTGTTATTTTTTAATATGTTTTATAAGTTAAACAAGAAAAAGTGCAGAAAATATTAATAAATACCAAAACTTGAATAAAAGTAGTTTTTATATTCCATTAAATACTTAACAGGTATATAAAAGGCCATCCGCATCCCCCCCCTGAAATTCCCCGAGAACCCTTAGTCTAGACCCTTTTTTTTTATTTGAAATATCTTTAAATGATACATAACTAGGTATTAGCAAGAAAATATAAGTTTATGATCAGATTTAATAAATACAGCTGTTAATCTGAAGTTGCATTACTTTTTGGTCACAATATATTGGTTTAATTCCATTTGCTTTGAAAAAATTTCTTACCCACACGTGTTTGCAACGTTCTTCCCCCCCCCCTCCCGCTCTTCCCTGCGTGCGCTTGTGTGAATGTTTGAGTCTGTGTGTGCTAAAGAGATAGCGAGAGCTGAAAAAGAACAGGTAAGATAGAGACAGGTTTCAGCATGAAGACCTTAATTATGCTCAAAACCCGTCCTAAGGAAAAAAACTTTAACCTGCATATGACTTTAATAACAAATAAAATAAATTATTATTTTTCTAATATATCAGCTAAGCAAGCCTTTCGATCGAGAGAAAGGTGACATATTAGGAATTTCTGACATAGGAGTCATGTACGTAGATACTGCTAAAAATATGCTTTGCCATTTAGAGAAAAACTTCTAATATGAGAAGCGAAACTTACTTCTAATGCTGTATTTTTAACCGATTCTTGGATAACTAATATACTGCCGGATCATCTATAAAAAGTACATATTTTAATTAGCAGAATATTACGGAATTCTAATCTAAAGAGTGTGGTAAATTTGTGTTGTTTCCGTGCAATAACACCACGAAAACATAACAGAGTATAATTTCAAGCAATTTCTGTCATGGATGATTAAAACTGAAAAAACAGTGTTTCATGCTAACAGTATCTCATTTAAAACATTAATTCTTATGTTTCTTATTCTTATGGTCGGAAAGGTTTGTTTTTTGTTTTTACAGTATGTTATATCTAGTAGAATAATGCAAATACTAATAATTTTTAATAGACAGTATATATAATTTTTTCGTAGTGTTATATTTTAAAATCGCTTCCGAGATGGGAAGCTGGTTAGTGACTAACTGTCGTACCGAAGAGCTGGGGTTCGAATCCCGGAGAAGGCATGAATGTAAATTATCTTTCACTTCATGGAAGGCAACGGTGATCCACCTGTCAGGTGCCTCCATAATAATGTGACCACCGCTTTCGGCCTTAGTAGTGGCCAATGCTTATAATGGCTAGTGCCCGCCATTGGAAAAAATATTTTAAATTTATGTCTATCTTTTTACATTAAATTAATATTTTAAAATATTATAATGCATAAATTTCCCTTTTGTAACTAAAGCTATACAAATTTTTTCACGACAATAACTCTTCGTTTACTTATTTAAGTTCCACTATACACTATACTGTAGATCCACAAACCTGCATTATAGCTGTTATATGCATAAATTAAGGATAAACGTCTGCACTTTCTATTTTACCAAAGTCAGTACGATGACAATAATAGTAACAGAAACCTATGGTATTGCAGTTTATGAGAAGACAGGTAATGAAGGGGTAAACATAATTTTAGCAATGTTATGTTAATATATACGCATGACAGAAGTTAAAAACAGCTAAATAGATACTAAATGAATTTTGGATTATTTTATGTTAGTACTTTTTCTTTTCAGTATGTTATTTGGAAAACAAATTTTGAATGTCGTTCATAAACGACATCTTACTGCAAAATTTTCCTTTCGAAATTTATTCTCACATTTCCTAATAACAGCTAATACTATATCTTAACACTAAACGTTTTTAGTTAAAATTTGAAATGTTTTTGAATTACAAATATAGACAGAAATATTGTATATATATATATCGATTATGATAATAAATATATGCATAGCTATATCGTTTTAATCATAATAATACGATTCTCAGTTCTTGAATTATATTTGATAATTTTTATAATACCTGTGGGGAACTTTAAATTAAAATTTGAATTGTTTACATATGCGAAAAAGGCTAACAGAGAAGCCATGAGATTCATGAAATGTTATGCTTTGTTCTGCATTAATTTAGGATCAGATTTGAAAGGATTTTTTCAAAGAAACAAAAATTTATGTATATTTACATAACTTGAAGCGTAATAGCTGAAATTTTATACATTAGAATAAGCATTTGCATACAGAATATGTGTTTTTCACATTTTCACCAGTTCTTCAAATAAATAAATTTATCAGAAACAGCTTGAATGTGCGCTGCGTTTGGATGAAGGACTATTTATTTTGCTATTAAGAGGCTAAAAGGGTAGGAATATCTTATATTTTTATTCCTACAGATTGCTTTCAAAGTTTATTAATTATTACACAAAAATTACATGACTAACATATCACTTTCTATCTTAAAGAAGTCTTCTTTCCACTTCTGTTTAATCAATGTTTGTTCTCCTCCCTCGAGCTACCACTTTTTATATTGCATATTAAATTCTATAACTGATATTCCTGAATAATATTTAGCGCAACAGAGGCATAGCGATTAAATCCCTGACCACTGGTAGTTCCGACGTGGTTTCGATTCTAGGCAAAAGAGTTGACTGCATGGATGTTTTCGTGGTTTTCACCATGTGCAACGTGTAAACGAGCCAGTTTCCGTTAGAAAATTCTCCACAAAGGAATCCCTTTCCTTAAACAGATAGCCCTAGCGTGCTTTGTCACATTCTATCGAAGCAAATCAATCCTGAATAGCATTTGTTTTATCTTCCCTTATTCATAAAATCATTTTCATTAACTTTGATTAAGGTATTAAAAATATCTCTTAATTCCGTGATTTCAATTTTGATCTTTATTTTCCAAATAAACAGAATATTGCATTCCTTTGTTGGGGGAAAAGGGGAGAGGTAAGAAATAGGAAGTATTAGTCATTCTTTCTAAATATTTCGTGTATTACGTATTATAAATTTAATAAAAATGCCCTGCTCGTATTTCCTACGACTTTTGAAAACCCAGTTCTCTCAGCATTAACTATAGCTCCTCAAAGAACCAGTTCCAACAGGTGAGCTTTACCTGTTTGAAGACATATTAGTTTCCACTCGCTACGACATAAGTATCTTTTTCATATTAGCAACTGTACATAGGTGGAACAATTGATTGCAATCAGTGTGATCTGTCAGTAGGTTCCGGCATAACAAGTGCGGAAAGACTGTGCAGAGGATAGGGCAGTTTGCCAAATGCACATGAAGGGCTTCTTGGGCAGCTTAGCAAAAGTTTTTACCTTTCTGGAGTACGAGTGGAGGTTAGCGAGGAAGAAAAAGTGTAGCAAGGCATGCTTTTGAGTAGAAAAGGATCGAAAACCTACAGTTTGAAAAGGAACAATGGTACGTAAAACTATATTTTAATGTTTTTAAATGTTAGGTTCTCGATTCCGATTGGTAGCCATGATATTACTTCATAGCCTTAATTTTATTAGTACAGCGTTACGGCGCATTTTTTTAAATATTTATGAACTGTTTTTAGAAAGACACAGTAGGACATAAAAGGCTACCACTTTTTTAAATGTGGTATTTTTATTGCGTTTTTAAAAAGAGAAAGTGAAGGGATGTTTAAAAAGAACTCAAAGTGGAGATTATTTTGAAAATTATTTGTAAAGATTCTTTTGTTTTGAATAAAAAATAGGGATTTTGTCAAAATAAATGTTTTTCAAGATAGTTTATAACAATAAAATTACCATTAAAGTATTCGGGAGTAAAATATTTGATAAGAATTTATTTGCTGAATGGCTGTTTAAAAAATAATACACTAAGAATATTGGATAAATATGTCAAAAGTGTCAAAAGTGAAGAAGGTCAAAAGTGTAAGCTTACCAAATAAAAAAGTTTTTCGGCTAACAACTAATTTTAAGGTGTTGCTTCCAATAAGACTAATTTACAGGAATTAATTTTTCAGTTAAGATTTAAGTAGTCACACTATAGCATTGTTCCGAAGAGTAATTTATTTGAATTTGTTTGAGCATAATGCCAATTAAACACGTATTGGCAGAAATAATGGAAAATAAAACTGATCTAATATTTAAAAAACTACAAATAATTGTGATCCTTCCGCTGATTTTATGTCGCTGTATTTAAATTTCTCTGAAAGTTAGAATCCAATTCTCATTGATATCACCTAATTATTAATGCAAAACATAAATAAATTTATTATAAAATTATTATCGATTTTAACTGTTTGGAGAAAAGTCAGATACGTGTTTTCACAGGGCAAACTTAAAAGGTGCAATAAAATCAAACGAAATTCTCCTGCTCTGCCTTTTTGCACGATCACAAACAAATCTTTAGTTGAAATACATTTCAATGTTTTTTCAAGCATGCATTCTAAGCAAATTAAATTTTGCCATGCTTGACAACCACAAATACATCATTCATGTAGGAATGTGATAAGCTGTATTCAAGGATATGAAAATTTGAGATGAAAAATTATTATTTGCTTAAAAGGATTGATTATGAAGTTAAAATTTCGGATGAGACTACAATCTTAAACGAAAAAAGAACTTCTTGGATTTTTTACTCTATTACACGGAAAACGATTATTAATTATGAAAAATTATTATTTGCTTAAAATGATTGATTATGAAGTCAAAATTCTGGATGAGATGGCAATCTTAAACGAAAAAAGAATTTCTCTGATTTTTTAACTCTATTACGCGAAAACGAGAAAATGCGATCCTGAAATTAACATCTTATAGAACTGTATTTTAATGCACTCGTGTGACATTATCGAAGAGCATTATGGGCACAGTTCACGGGTTCATTAAAATCTACGGTTAAAAGTTTTGTAATTTAATATATATATAAGACAGATATATAATAACAGATATATAAGACTTACTGTATTAAATACTTAAGCCTTTACTCTCATTTTTCTAAAACCGACTAGACTGCACTCTGACCTAAACATGTCCACTGAAGTTTTAGCATTCTTTTAGAATAAGTATAAAAAATTTTTTTCGGAAATACTAATGTTCTTTTATAAAAATTTTCTCGCATTAAACAAGAGCTTCAATGGTCTGTTTCGGCGAAACGCGTAATGGTATTTAGCCTATTTCGTAGAAACAGTTTTTTTCCCTTGAAAAAGCCAACTGAGAGTACGAGTGGGTTAATTTACCATTTTTCTGCTAATTTACCATTTTTCCGCTATTTAATTATTTGTTTATTGTAAATTGTATTGATGCATTTTGTGTCTTCATTTTATTTTTAATTTTAATTTTAATTTTTTATGTATAGGCATTTTATATATTGGCAATTTTAATTTTAATTTTAATTTTTTATGTATAAGCATTTTATATATTGACATTTTATAATCCATGTTTTTTGTACCTTCCTTATATATATATATATATTTTTTTCCGTCGATCTATGTTTCATGTGAGTTAACATTTCACATTTCACAACGGTCAGATTCATTACTTTTTTTCGTGCATTAGCAAGTCTTCCAGCACTAAATTTGGCAGTTTTATCGCGTGTTTACAGTTTTTCCAGTTATTCCAGAAAAATTTCTTATTATTTATGTAGTACTGTGTTTCAATATTTCGTGGAGCTACAGCTCCTGGTAACTTTTTAGCAAGTTCGCTGCAATGATCCTACCTACTACTATTCTTTCAAATCTTTTTGCAGCATTATGCGCAAAAGGTTTTGAGGCCAGATAGGTCTTACGTCTAATTACAAGTTAGCTTTACATTTTCTTTTTCAATTAATATTCTTTTTAGCAGCCTCGAGCGCTGAAAGTTTAATAAGTTTGATCGTTAAGTGTATTTCAATTTCACTTTTCAAGCTTCAGCTTTTAACACAGGCTCAGATCAATCATATAGAGATAATTAAATGAAGCAACAAGCTTTGTAAAACTTGTAAGGCTAATGCTACTCACTTCCCACCAATACTAATAAGACACAATCACTATGAAAGACTTTCAATTGTATCTACCAAATCACCTGTAAAGAATGCTCTCTCACATATATAGGTCAGACAAAAAAACCCTCTCAACCTCAGAATTAATAACCATAGATCTCATATTAAAAAATTTAAAAATAACAGCAATAATCTCACAAAAAATAATCAGCATACAGCTATTCTCGAGCATTATAATATGCATAATTTTGATAACATAGAAATTACTGTGCTTGATATTGTACCGAACACTAAACTTAGACTTTTAAAGGAATCCATATACATACTTCAAAAAAAGTCACTTTACCCTTACGGATTTGAATGCTTATCTGAGTCATACCACCAATAGACAGACAGAAGTCTCAATATATGGACAATTCAGATTTTTTAGCAGTATAACGACCAGAGGTACCAGAGGAGGTGATTCCAAACACAACAAATTTTTTTCTACACAAGATCTGAAATTAATAATTAAAAATCTTCATTCCTTCCTTGAACATAATGAATTTGCTAAGAATGCCATAAAACTTCTACATACATTTAAGAATGTTACTTTGTGGAATCTGATTAAAGTCGTAAATGAAAATTTTAGCTGTTTACAAATCATAAAAGACCTAATTATTGACTTCTGCAATTTTAAACTAAAAAATAGCAATTTTTTTGACAAAAAATTGTTTTGTACGGTACAATTCAAACACTCTTCTTACGATCAACTAAAAATACCTAACATTTTTAAAAAATATCAACACTTGCTTCCTGAACAACAATTCCAAATTAAGCCCTGCTTTAAATTTGAAAAGAACTTAGGTCAACTCTTAGTTTATCAACTTAGGTGAACAGGTGTTATCAACACACGATATTCAAGAAAATAGCATGTGTCATTGCCACCAGCCTCTTTACCAAAAATATGTCGATCCTTTCCACCAACATGTTATAACAGGAGATCTTAACATCATAGAAGACTTAGAATTACGAGACCTTTTACAACTTGGCACCAAATTTCGTCCTACTTTTAGTATCAGTAAACATTTTTGCCTCAGACAATTCAATCAAGATCTTGATCAATTTATCATGTTAGTTAGTAATAAATCCAATTTACCTACTACCACTTTTCTTGAATGGAAAGCTGCACTGATTACAGAATTTCAACATTCACTCTTCAAGGCGCCTTCTTTCACCTCTCTACACAATAAGAAACGACTCTTTGATCTAATCAACAAACTACAAGATAATTTTATCATTACAAAAATTGACAAAGCTAGCAACAATTTTAGTGTTCTTTGAAAAAAGTTTTATTTCGACCTTCTGCACAAAGAACTAAATAGTAATGGCACTTATTTGGTGTTGGTGGTACCAAAAAATTACCACCAACACCAAAATTCTTATCAATAAATTTAACGCACTACATAAAAGACTTAAGATACATCCACGGAACTATAATAACAGATTTGCAAATCTCTATGCCCTTCCAAAATTTCTTAAGTCACCTTATTAAATTCAGATTCATTGCCAATAGTACCAAAAGCTATCTTAAAGAAATAGATTATCTTTTTGCAAAAAAAACTTCGTTTAATACGTGACTTGATTAATAACTATGATTTTCAAGATCTGCATTGCAACTGGATGATTTCAAGTAACGAACTCGTAATTAAGACAATTAATCCAATTAAAATTAACCATATACAATGCTACGATTTCGAAAACCTTTATACTACCTTACCGCTTGAAGAAATTTATACCAGCTTACTTGTTCTACCAGATATAATTCCTCAGATTTCTACAATAATTGATAACGAAAAATGGCAACTTTATCTTACGAGCATGCTTTTCAATAATTATATTCTCTTTAACAATAACATCTTCAAACAAATTCAAGGGATCCCAATGGGAGGAAATTTTTCGAGCTCCGTCTGCGAATTATTCCTTTTCACAAGAGAATTGACATTTGTCCGATCTCTGAATGTAGCAGAACATAAATTTTATCAACACATTTATCGTTACATTGATGATATCATAGCATTTAACAACCATAACAAAATAGAAGCAGCTAATATCTACCCAACTAGCTTAAAGCTAAATAAAACAAATACGGTGCAAAATAATGTAGTATACCTTGACCTTAATATCATTGATTACAATTTTATTAAAGTCTACGACAAGAGGAGAGAATTCACTTTTTCTACACTACAGTTAACAAACTGGAATTCTAATATTTCCAAAAGAATCATCATTAACACAATTTTTTCACAGCTTCTTAGAATAAAAAGGATCTGTAATACTACAGAACACTTACAAGAAGAAATACTTCGTCACAATTTTGAAAAATAACCAAATTCCTCAGAAAATAATTAAAAATACTTTAAAAAAAGCTGGCATTAGCCTTAGCAATTTTTAGATAATTTGTTTTGGATAATGAAATTTTTTGCTTAAAGCCTACC